GATAAAATGAGTATTATCCACATTGCTGAAAGATAACATTATAATATGCTTCTGCTATATTAGGATTTTGATTTAACTTCATGCTTTTTATTAAAAATTATTATTTACATTTTATTTGAACTTTTCATTTTTATTCATTCTTCAAGCAACTTTCAAAAGTTATTAATAAAAATTCTTATTAAATTGTCAATGAGAAAATATATATTAAATTTGGTAAGAAAATCCCATGTGTAACTTCAATAAAGTATAAAAGATAGAACCTTAAAAGTGTTTATTTTTTATTAGCTGCCTTAGGACTACAAGGATTTAAGTGTTTTTATAAAAACAATAAAAGAGGAGTAATTTGATGGTTTATTTACTCTTTATAACCTTTAGAAAGTGCCATGCTTTTTTTGAAGTACTTGCTTCAGGCTGTAGTTTTATAAGATGGGCTGTGTATTGGTCAGGCCTCTTCAATTCTTGACCCTGAACAGATTTAAGGACATAGTACATACACCAGGCACTTGTCCAAGCAGCCAAAACTATTACTGGGTACTTTTATTCTCCTTTTCAAACTCATAATCCACCTCCTACGAAATTGCCCAATTCAGTTCCTCATGTTGTCTAATACAATACTAATCTCTCTTTCCGAGAGTTTCTTGGTTTGATTATCTACAAAATATCCAAGATAAATATCTCTAATATGCATGGCATAGCCTAAAAGTTCACATTTAAAAAAAAATCTCTTTCCTAATTGGTATTTAAACTACTGTTTTCATGTTAGTCAACTTAATCTATTACAAAGACTTCTCAAATAGAAAAATATTAATATTAGAATATCCATAACAATTTAAAAGTTTTTTGCCTTTCCTTTCAACAAATATTTCTTATTTTGAAGTGTTCAACCAAATAATCAGAATGTACTTGTATATTTAAAATAGGTAGTGTGATTTTGAATGTTTTTCTAACTTTTATGGGATATGAAGATTAAATTCTGAAGTTTTTGAAGGAAAGGAGTATATTATAGCAATTCATACTGTCCTACACAACCCACAGTTTCTTTTTTTTTTTTTTTTTTCCCCACAGTTTCTTAAAGGTGATATAATGGCATGTTTAAGAGACTGGAGACAGATCATCTAGGTTCAAATACTTGCTCTGCTGTTTACCTGCTATATGACTTTAGGCAAGTTATTTATCCTCTTGCTGATAACCCAGTTTCCTCATTTATAAAATGGCAGTAACAAGAATACAAGTAATGCATAAAATTATACCTAAGGTTAAATTCATATATAAAAACTGCTTAGAACAATATCTAAATCATATTAAGATCTGAAAATCCCCTGTAGCCACTGAAAGAGAAGTGTAGGGCTTCCCTGGTGGTGCAGTGGTTAAGAATCCACCTGCCTACGCAGGGAACGTGGGTTTGAGCCCTGGTCCCGGAAGATCCCACGTGCCGCATAGCAATTAAGCCCGTGCACCACAACTACTGAGCCTGTGCTCTAGAGTCTGCGAGCCACAGCCACTGAAGCTCGCGCACCACAACTGCTGAAGCCCACACACCTAGAGCCAGTGCTCCGCAACAAGAGAAGCCACTGTGATGAGAAGCCCACGCACCACAATGAAGAGTCGCCCCCACTCGCCACAACTAGAGAAAGCCCACGTGCAGAATCAAAGACCCAATGCAGCTAAAAATAAAACAAATTAAAAAAAATAAAAAATAAAAGAGAAATGTATAACCAGGCCCATGTGAAGAAAGCTGTATCTTGTACCTTTTCAATCCACCTGCTTTGGGAAGATATGCATGTCATATGTTCTACACACCTTCCCCCCAAAATGTGTATACACATTTCTTTTTTCAATGTTTTGACTGTAGGTATATATTACTTTGAGAGCTTCTGTTCTGTCCTCACTTTATTTATCACATAGCATACCTTGTTCATATACATTCTGTCCCTTATTCCATGCTGGAAGAACCTTGACTGTGTCTTAGTGTCCAACTCTCACCAATATGAGTTAGGTAAATCCTGACTGTCCTAACCTCTCACGAAGATTCAATGCATTTCACCAGCCAGCAACTGGTTTAGGAGTGGGCATATGACCTAGTTATGGCCAATGAGATATCAGAAGATATGATCAGGAAGCTTCTGGGAAAAGTTTTGTTATCCTTTTAATAAGAGATTACACTTTTTCTACTGTAGGATAATGTCCTTTCCGTCCTTCATGCCTAAAATTAAAGTAGCCAAGAGGTGAAAAGCTTAAGGAAAATCACTTGGATAATGGCAGAATGGAAAATGGGCAGAATTATAGTCCTTGATGATATTGTTGAGCCACTGAAATAAATTCTAGAAGGACTCTGCCTTTGGACTTGTCATGTGAAACAGTTAAGTCCCATAAGCCATTGTGAGTCGGGGTTTGTTGTTGCTACTTGCTGCTGAAAGCATTTTCAGTGAGACAACTTTCATGAAAGCCTCTTTGAATACCATAGCATAAGTGTGTGTATGTGTGTGTGTAATAAAGCAAAGAACATGTGAGAGAGTCATAGGAAAATATTTCATAACAAAATATATTTTATCTGTTAACATCCACTCTTTGATTTCTCCCAGTTTGTTATGAAAATTGTCAAACATACAGCAAAACTAACAGAATTTGACAGTGAACACTCATACACCATTAACATTTTACTGTACTTGTTTTATCACGTCTATCCATCTACTTATCCCTCCTTCAGCTTTATTTTTGATGATTCCAGAGTAAATTGCAGGCATCAGTGCACTTCCTAAATACTTCAGAATGCGTATCATTCAGAATTCTATGGTGAAATTATGTGGGCCTGTACATTTCTTTTTTTGGAGCTTTTAAATTTATGACTATAGGGCTTTTGAAGATTGTTATTTATCTTCTTGGTTGAAGTCTGATAGTGTGTGGTTTTAGAAGAATTGGTCTGTTTCTGTAAGTTGTCAAATTTATGAGCATAAACTTGTTTGTAGCATTCCCTTAACTTTTTAATGGCTTTAGGACTTTTGTATATGGTTCTTTTAGCACTTTGAGCATATTTAAAATTATTGATTTAAAGTCTGTCTAGGTCCATTGTCTGCACTTGCTCAGGGACAGTTCCTATTAAATTGTTTTTTTTTCCTGTGTATGGATCACACTTTTTTTTAAATAATTATTTTATTTAATTATTTTTGGCTGTGTTGGGCCTTCGTTGCTGCACGTGGGCTTTCTCTGGTTGAGGTGCGCGGGCTTCTCACTGCGGTGGCTTCTGTTGTCGCGGAGCATGGGCTCTAGGCATGTGGGCTTCAGTAGTTGTGGCATGTGGGATCTAGAGCGCAGGCTCAGTAGTTGTGGTGCACGGCTTTAGTTGCTCTGTGGCATGTGGGATCTTCCCCGACCAGGGCTTGAACCCGTGTCCCTTGCATTGGCAGGCGGATTCTTAACCACTGCGCCACCAGGGAAGCGCTGGATCACACTTTTCTGTTTACTTGCATGCCTTGTAAATTTTTTTTGAGAAATGGACATGAATATTTTGAATATGTGACAACTCTGGAAATAAGATTCCTACCTCTTCTCAGGGTTGCTTCTTGTTTTTGTCATTATTTGTTTGTGTAGTGACTTTTCTGAAATAATTGTGTTAAGTCTTCAGTTTTTGTCATGTGCTCTTAGCTTAGTGATCAGCTAGTGCTTTGTTTGACATAGATTTCCTTAAATACCTGGAACCAAAACAAACAAACAAAAAAACTGTCTTTGCAGAAGAGCTCTGTGTGTGTGTGTTGGGGTATGCCTTCAACACTCAACCAGGCAGCTTTTAAGTCTACCTATTGAAGTTTCTGACAGAAGCTTCAGATTTCTCTAGTGATACCTTGTGTTTATTGTGTGGGCTAATTCAAGAGTATTACAATATTTTAAATGAAATCAGAGGGTTTTTCTAAATAACTGCTTCTTGCTTGGCTTTGGGCTTCCCCCCTTGACTTTGGGTCTTCCTTTTGTGCTGCTTCCCAGAGAGAGTCTATCCTTTCAGTTCTCCCAGCTATGTCTCACTGTTTTTTTACTTGACACTTGTTAGTTGGGTGGTGGCGGCAGGTGGGGAATAGGAGCATTCTCTGATGTTTCTATTAAGCCTCAGTTTTTGGTGAACCCAAGTCTCAAAGTGAGGCCTCCACAAGAATTCTGATCCCTCTTTCATATTTAATTGTGGGCCTAGCATGTATTCCTTCCCCTCCCCAAAGATAGAGCTGTTTTATTTTTCTAGCCGTCTCCTCTTAGCTGCAGTGGGTTTCCATAAGTGCTCTCATGGGCTAGTTTTTATTGCCCTTCCCCCTGTAGATTAAGGCTTTTGTTCCTTAGAGGAGATAAGAAAGACAGGTCTGTCTAGGTAGAGTTTTCAGTGGTGTCTGCTGGTCCCTTTTCCCCGCTGCAGAGGATTTCCACTAGTGTCCTTAGATATAGTTTTTGTTGTCCTGTCCCCTGCAGATTAAGGTTTTTGGTCTGTAGGAGATTTAGGGAAGAAGGCTTGTGACTGCTCTTCTCCCCAGCCAGTACCACAGGAGAAAAGCTTTCTCAGATTCTTCCCATCCTTCCCTGTAACCACCTGGTGGGTTTCGTGGAAGAAAAACCTGTTAGAAGGTATAAACCTCCTTACTTCTAGAAGATATAAACCTCTTTATTTCTGGGGCCCTCAGGAGATTCATGTTCTTACACCAGCCCATGTTCTGCCTTTAGAAATTTATTAAGGACTTTTAGCTGAGTTTTTTAATCAGTACTCAATGGCTTATGTCCCAAGTAAGCAAATGCTGTGGTTCTGTTCTCCCTGCAGTAACCCGTTTCTCTATCCAGATTTTGGATTACTTGGTCGATCTGGGACCTCAGTTCTCTGACGGATTTGGCTATTGAATTTGCAAAATTTCCAGCCCTTTTCCTTGTTGTAAATGTGGGAGGATGCTCTTTTTATCTCTCTAGAAAGAGCTGAAACTGGAAATTTTCAAGTCCTAATTTTCCTGGTATTTTTCTTCTTTTTGACTTAGGAAGCAGAAGCTCAGTATGAAGAGCAGATTGGTAAAATTATTATGGAGACACAAGAACTTAAATGGCAAAAGGTGAGTATTTTCCCCCCTCTAATTAGCATTTTATTTTATGTATTTTAATCCTTAATTGTGAAGTTAATTTTTAAATTTCCTAAACATATTTGGGGAATTGTGCATCATTTTAGAGAGTCTCAAGAAAATTCCAGCTAAAACTGTTAAGAACATTTAGGATTCCAGAAAACTGAGAATAACTTTTTTTTTTTTTTTTACAATGTTGTGTTAGTTTCTTCTGTGAGAATAACCATTTTCCCCCAGGCTTTCTGATAAGAAAATAGGCTTTCTGATAAGAAAATAGACAAGGATAACTCTGAAAACTACTATGAACTATTCCATATCTGAGAAACATATTGTGTGTTATAGAGGAGTCAAAATATTTTTTAAGAAGTGAAACTTCAGAATAGTACTGTATTTTCCTAGGCTGTTGTTATATACTATAACCAAATCTTAAAAAAAATAGTATCATATCTGATTTTCTTTTGATCCTTATCCATATAGAGGCATTTTTGATAGTGCCTCTCTTGCCTTTCCACCAAAGTAATCTTTTCTTTTTAAAAATATTTATTTATTTATTTGGCTGCACCAGGTCTTTGTCGTGGCATGTGGGATCTTTGTTGACATGCAAGATCTTTTAGTTGTGGGTTGCGGGCTCTTAGTTGCAGCATGTGGGATCTAGTTCCCTGACCAGGGATTGAACCCGGGCCCCCTGTATTGGGAGTGTGGAGTCTTAACCACTGGACCACCAGGGAAGTCCCCCACCAAAGTAATCTTAACAGCTAAAAATTGAAAGCTTAATTAAGATGACCCTTCTTCTCAGTATTTGGCAATATTGAAACAGGAACTTGGAGATAACATGTCAGAAATAGAATTCAAATGACAGAGGATAGGCCAACGATGGGAATTTTGAGGCCAGAGAGATCCACAAGGTTATGTAGAAATGGGAGTGAAACCAGAGTTGGGTTACATATGAGGGACAGGTCAAATAAAGAGACCTGTTTGTGGAGAGAAAAAACAGGTAAACACCAAATACAATCTAAAGCTCCAAGCAGACATAAAGTCAGAATGTAAAGTCAGAATGTAAAGTCATATCTTGTTTTGAATAGAGTCAATAGTAGAAAATTATCAGAATCCTTAAGTTAATCAGTAAGTTTAATACAATCCAATTTAAAATACCAAGCGTGTGTTTGGTGTACTTAAGCTGATTCTAAGGTTTATATGGAAATAAACTTACAATAGTGGCTGGGAAAGTTTTGAAAAGGAATCTAGTCACACTAGATTCTTAAATATATTATAAAGCTATAATAGTTAAAATAGCTTGGTAGTATACATGAACACATAGACTATAATAGAGTCCAGAAATAGATCCAAATACATAAGATAATTTAGTGAATGATAAAGGTGACATTTCTGATCAGTGGGGAAAAAGTAGATTATTCAAGAAATGATATTAGAACTGGGTATACCATCTGAAGAAAAATAAAACCAGATTCCTACCTTACTTTACAAAGTTGTAGAAAAATAGAACTTTCATATATTTCTTATTGGCAATGTAAATTAAAAGTATCTTAAGTTCTCCCAAACACCTAAATCCCATAACCTTCTATATAACCCAGTTCTAACTTGTTCCTTTTGAGATACTAGTAAGACTCTGTCAAGGTAGTGTCCTCACTTACTGCAGTGAATTCCAATAAACATGGTTTTGCTTTATTAACAGGTTGTTTGGTGGTGTTTTGATGGAGTTCATTTTTGTATATGGTTTTAGGTAAGGGTTCAGCTTCATTCTTTTTTTCTTTTTTTTTTTTTTGCGGTATGCGGGCCTCTCACTGCCGTGGCCTCTCCCGCCGCGGAGCACAGGCTCCGGACGCGCAGGCTCAGCGGCCATGGCTCACGGGCCCAGCCGCTCCGTGGCATGTGGGATCCTCCCGGACTGGGGCACAAACCCGTGTCCCCTGCATCGGCAGGTGGACTCTGAACCACTGCGCCACCAGGGAAGCCCAGCTTCATTCTTTTGCTTGTGTATATCCAGTTTTCCCAGAACCTTTGGTTGAAAAGACTGTTCTTTCCCCATTGAATGATCTTGACACCCTTGACCATGTGTGTGAGGGTTTATTTCTGGGCTCTTTATTCCATTGGTCCATGTGTCTTTCTTTATGCTAGTACAACACTGTTTTGATTCCTGGAGCTTTACAGTAAGTTTTGAAATAAGGAAGTGTGAGTTCCCCAGATTTGATCTTCTTTTTTCAAGATTATTTGGCTATTTTGGGTTCCTTGAGATTTCATATGAATTTTAGGATGGGTTTTTCTATTTCTGCAAAAAATATTATTGGGATTTTGATAGAGATTACATTGAATCTGTAGATAACTTTGGATAGTATTATCTTACAAATATGAAGTTTTCTAATCCCAGAGCAAAAGATGTGTGTGTATTTTTTATTTTTAATTTAATTTCTTTTGGCAGTGTTTTGTAGTTTTCATTGTACAAGTGTTTCATCTCCTTGGTGAAGTTAATTTCTATGTATTTTATTCCTTTTAGTGCTATTGTAAATGTAATTGTTTTCTTAATTTCATTTTTGGGTAGTTCATTGTTAGCGTATAGAAATGCAATTGATTTTTGTGTGACTTTGTTTTGTACTACTTTGCTGAATTCATTTATTCAGGTTTTTTGTGGAATCTAGGGTTTTCTACATATAAGATCATATCATATGCAAACAGATAATTCTTTTTCCTTTCCAAAGTGGATTTCTTTTTCTTGCCTCATTGCTTTAACCAGTGCTTCCAGTACTATGTTGAATAGAAGTTGTGAAAGTAGACATCCTTGCCTTGTTCCTGATCTTAGAGGAAAAGCTTTCAGTCCTTTACCATTGAATATTATGTTCACTGTGGGGTTTTCAAATATGGCTTTTATTATGTTGAGGTAGTTTCCTTCTATTCCTAGTTTGTTGAATTTTTTTTTTTTTACCATGAAAGTGTACTGAATTTTGTCAGATTCTTTTTATTGCATAAGTTGAGATGATTATGTGCTTTTTTGCCTTCATTCTGTTAATGTGGTGTATTACACTGACTGAGTTTTTTGTATGTTGAACTCTCTTATCCCAGGGATAAATCCTACTTGGTCATGGTGTATGATCCTTTTAATATGCTTCTGAATTCGGTTTGATAGTATTTTTTTGAGAATTTTTGCCTCAATGTTCATCAGGGGCACTGGTCTGTAGTAGTCTTGATGTGTCTTCATCTGGCTTTGGTATCAAGGTAATACTGGCATCAAGCACGAGTTAGGAAGTGTTCCTTCCTATTCAACTCTTTGGAGAAGTTTGAGGAGGATTGCTGTTAGTTCTTTAAATGTTTGGTAGAATTCACCAGTGAAGCCATCAGGTTCAGGGCTTTTCTGTATTGGGAGATTTTGATTATGGATTCCGTCTCCTATAGTCTCTTAAAATTTTCTATTTCTTCATAATTTGGTCTTCGTAGGTTTTGCATTTCTAGGAATTCTCCATTTCATCTAGGTTGCCCAATTTGTTAGCATGCAATTGTTCATAGTACTCTCATCATACTTATTATTTCTGAAGAATCAGTAGTAATGTCCCCACTTTCATTTCTGATTTTAGTAATTTGAGTCTTCTCTGTTTTTCTTAGTCCATCTGGGTAAAGGTTTATCAATTTTGTTATCTTTTCAAAGAACCAATTTTTAATTTCACTTATTTTCTCTGTTGTTTTTCTGTTCTGTTAAAGGGAGGGGGGCTCTCTCCCATTCTTTTCTTTTTTAAAAATTTATTTATTTATTTATTTTTGGCTGCATTGGGTCTTTGTTGCTGTGAGTGGGCTTTCTGTAGTTGCAGCAAGCGGGGGCTACTCTTTCTTGCAGTATGAGGGCTTCTCATTGTGGTGTCTTCTCTTGTTGCAGAGCACGGGCTCTAGGCATGTGGCCTTCAATAGTTGTGGCATGTGGGCTCAGTAGTTGTGGCTCGCAGGCTCTAGAGCACAGGCTCAGTAGTTGTGGCACATGGGCCTAGTTGCTCCATGACATGTGGGATCTTCCCAGACCAGGGATCAAACCTGTGTTGGCAGGCGGATTCTTAACCACTGTGCCACCAGGGAAGCTCTGCTTCATATATTCTGATGGTCTGTCATTCAGTTCATAAATGCTTATAATTGTTATATCTTCTTCCTTATTGAACGTTTTATGGATATATAATATCTTTCTTTGTCTAATGTAACTTCTTAAAATTTAAAGGCCATTTTTAATTTTGTTTTTTTTTTCTTTTGGTTATTATTTTAATGGAATATCTTTTTCCATTTTTCTACTTTCAACCTGTTTGTGTCTTTAGATCTAGAGTGAGTCTCTTATAGACAGCATAAAGTTGCATCATGCTTTTTATCCATTCTTCCAATTTTTGTCTTTAGGTGAGAGTTAAAATATACATTTAAAGTAATTACTGATAAGAAGCAACTAACTTGTGTCATTTTGCTATTTGTTTTCGATGTGTCTGATAGTTTTTGTCCCTCATCTCCTGCATTACCATCATCTTTTGTGTTTAATTGATTTTTTTGTAGTGAGATGTTTAAATTCCTTTCTCATTTCCTTTTGTGTATATTCTCTAGCTATTTCCTTAATGGTTACCATGGGGATTACAGTTAGCATCTATCATTATAGCACTCTAATTTGAATTTGTATCAGCTTAATGTCAATAACATACAAGAACTCTATTCCTTTATAACTCCATCTACACCCCTTTCAGTTGTTGATATTATAAAATTACATCTTTATATATTGTGTGCTCAAGAGAATAAACTAGTAGTTTTAAAAATGCATTAGTCTCTGAATTATGTAGAAAGCAAATATGGAGTTACAAACCAAAGGTACAGTAATACTAGCTTTTAGCCTAATAATTGTCTTTTTTTAAAAAGTATTAGTTTCTTTAAAAAGAAATAAAAACTGCTGTTAGAGTAATACTAGCTTTTATAAATTGCTCATGTATTTACCTTTACTGAGATTTTTATTTCTTCATATGGCTTTG